CGAACGGATCACTGAAGACAAATGGGTGCATAAGCAAATGTGGTGAAGAAAGCTGATGGTGCCCGGCTATCAAAAAGTATAGCGTCTGGGGTCTAGAAGGACTTCTTATGGGCGAAGAAAGGGAGTGACGGTTGGGAAACACCTGTCTTCACAGTTCAGTGGCTTTATGATTTCTCTATGCTGCAGAAAAAAATGGAAAGCGTCCCTCCTCGATTTAAAACAACAAACAGAAACTCAAAGACATTAAAGCAGTCAAACTAACTAACAAATAAAGCCATAAGGGGAGCTGTTAAAAGTTCGTGGGAAAAGTCTATCTTAAAATCCCATTTTCTGCGAACCTTCGCAAGCCCCCTCTTCCAGAATCCTCTCTGCGGTCTACCAGGGACCAACGGTATTGGGCATACCTTTGACCAATCGCCCTCTGGTGGCAGATGGTGGGCATAAAGTCTTAGCTGCAGGGATGTAATTTCAACTGTTGTCAATCTTTAGAAGACTATAAAAAATGATTTAAAGACCTGGTGACATACTGATTACACATTGTGATGCCAACCTCAAGTTCAGCAGTTTGAAACCACCAGCGGGAGAAAGAAGAGGCTTTCTACTCCCATAAGGATTTATAGTCTTGGAACCCACATGGGTAGTTGTACCCTGTCCTATAGGTTTGCTATGATTTGGAATCGACTTGACAGCAGTTCATATATGATATATTAGATATATTATACATAATTATATATGTCATTATAAGAAATCTTTCATCAACATTTCATAATGATACATCATTATATGTCACTATCTATATCATCATAAGAAATCTTCCACCATGAATATTTCATATCACATTTTGAAACTCTGCTCTGCCATACTGTTAAGGGATGCAAGGGGGTGGGTGGGAAGGGTCTACAAAGCCTTACTATTTACTGATCTTAGTTATATTCCATTTTAAATAAGGAATATGATTAACCCAAAGCAATTGATATCCGTAACTTTTACAATTGAAGCAATGAAAGAAGCTGCTGAGATACTTGATGTGTGTATGTGCATCTAGATGTGTGTACTTACACAGGTGTGAGGAGGAAGCAGGGCTATTCTGTCACTTCTCAAGTCAGATGACAGAGAGGAAAGTTTAGTTTGGTTCAGAAAAGCTGATCTACAAGTGCTAAGTTGTGCAATAGTTTAGAATAGTGGTTCACAACCCACAAAGTGGGTTGCAACACCTTTGGGGGTCAAAGGACCCTTTCACAGGGGTCACCTAATTCATGGCAGTAGCAAAATTACAGTCATGAAGTAGCAACGAAAAGAATTTTATGGTTAGGGGGAGTCCCCACAACATGAGGAACTGTATGAAAGGGTGGCGGCATGAGGAAGGTTGAGAACCACTGGCTTAGAGCTTGGCTGCTGAACCCAAAAGTAGGTGCCTGAAACCCACCAGTAACTATACTGCAGAATGGGTGGCAGCTGGTGTTTGCGAACATCCAGGCTTTGAAACCCTCTGGGGACAATTCTCCTCTGTCCTATAGGGTCCCTATGCATTGGAATCATCTCAGTGGGATTTAAGGCTAGTCTTTCTTTATAAAGCAGTCTGCCAAATGCATTCCAAAATCTGCGTTATTTAAACATAGTAGCTGGCATATATGTGTTTTGCAATGATAGGAACAACTGAAGAGGGGAGGTGGTGAGATGTCAGGGTCAAGGTAGAATAGTGGGCATTAAGAACTGAGGGAGGAGCATGTAGCCTTATTGTCTCATCAGTAGACCACAGAGATGAGTACAGTGTACAGTGAAGAACTGGTTGTTTAAGGCGGCCATCACTTAAATGGACACCCATGCTAGTGTTGGCTTGCCAACACTTGTCCTTATTTATAACACTGTCTCTCAGAAGCCTAGTTTAGCTGATAACCCATCCACATCTCCGCTGATGAGTCAGCTCTGACTCAGAGCAACCTACATAGTGTTTCTGAGCCTGTACCTCCCCACAGGAGCCGAGAAAGCGGCACCTTTTCCCCATGAAGTCACTGGTGGGTTTGAATGCTCGGCCTTGTGGTTAGCAGATCAATGCCTAACCTAGCTTGAGAGGATTGCTAAAGTACTGAGAAGCAACTCTTCTTTCCGGGCCTCATGCCAGGCTACCCCTTGACCTGCAACAAGTGTTCTGTTTCCTATTATTGCCCCCTCCAAAAGGGTACTCATATCAGCAGGGAGTGGCTACACCTCTCCACTGCTTTCGTGCTAGTCATAAAACTAGAATTCATTATCCTTATAAAATTGGGATCTGTTTTTGTTTAAACTTTCAGAAGCTCTTCTTGTTTGACCCATGGAAAATATGCTCTCACCTTGTTTTGCTATAGCCCTGAAGTTCCATTTGGCCAAAATACGGTTGGCATTGTTTACCAAGAGACTACCCTCCAGCAAACTGGCCCCAGACTTCATTTCCCAGCAATGTTTTCACTCGATTGCTTTGACCTACTGCTAACAGACCTCAGAAAAATGCAAAAGTTCTAGGTAAAATAAATCTTAGATGAATGTACGTCAAACAGTATTGCTACTAGTATTCTAACTCATTCATACACAGGGTTATTCCAGATGAAACACCTAAACATGTCTAAGCATGCCTCTGTGATCAGTGGATGTCTGTAGACAAGTTATTTCAGTCCTTGGTCCTGTTAAAAACTCATTGTCACCAAGTCAAGGGAATGTTTTCTAAAAAGTTCAAGCAGAACACTGGCTTCAAATGGAAGCTACTGGACCAATTAAATTCAGGGCAGAAAAGTCAACTCTGAGGTGTATGCACACACACACACACACACACACACAATTCCAAAGGAGTCATCTGGTTAGTTTCTTAAAGAACACAGGACAATCACGGGGCCAATTATGAAGGAG